CCTGCCCCTGAGTCTATATCCCCCTCCTCCCCTGCTCCTGAGTCTGTATCCTCATTTGCTCCTGTGCCTGCCCTTGCACCTGCTTCTGCACCTGTCTGTACCTGAGACTCCACCCACCTGCACCTGTCTGCGCCTGAGACTCCACCCACCCGCGCCTGCGTCTGACCCTGTCTGTACCTGAGACTCCACCCACCTGCGCCTGAGACTCCACCCATCTGCACCTGTCTACGCCTGAGACTCCACCCACCTGCGCCTGCGACTGCACCTAAGACTCCACCCACCTGCGCCTGCGTCTGCACCTGAGACTCCACCCACTTGCCCTGCGTCTGCACCTCTCTGTACCTGGGACTCCACCCACCTGCGCCTGCGTCTGCACCTGAGACTCCACCCACCTGCCTGTACCTGAGACTCCACCCACTTGCGCCTGCGACTGCACCTGTCTGTACCTGAGACTCCCACCCACCTGCGCCTGCGTCTGTACCTGAGATTGTGCCCGCCTGTGTCTGCACCTGTGTCTCCTGCTGTGTGTGACCAGATCCTTTCGGTCTTTCAGGGAAGTACCTGAGACAGAAGAGAATTGATTTCCAGCTGCCGTATGACATCCTGTGGCAGTGGAAACACAACCAGGTAAGACCTGATGGCAGCGTTTTTGTGGTGGCGCTAGTGACAGTTAGTGGGATTGTTAATAAAAATAAAATGTACAGCATGAGGGTCTGACTCCGCCCTCCTCAGTCTCCCGGTCTCCAGCTGATGCAGCTGCGCCAGTGACTGTGGCCATGTCTGCCTCTCTCTCTCCCTCAGCTCTACAAGAAGCCTGACGTCCCTCTGTACAAGAAGATCAGATCCAGTGAGTAAGCCTCAGTCTTGCTGCCAGTCTTGCCAGGTGCCAGCGACGGCCCTCACTCACCTCTCCCCCCCCCCCCCCCCCCGTCTGCCCGTCTCCCAGATGTGTACGTGGACGTGAAGCCGCTCTCCGGCTACGAAGCCACCACCTGCAGCTGCAAGAGGTCGGAGGACGAGGCCGAGAAGGGCTGCATTGACGACTGTCTGAACAGGTAGCGCTCGCCGCACCCCACGGCCCCCCGCTCGCGCCGCGCCCCTCTGACCCCCCACTCCTCTGACGCGCTCTGTCCCCCGTCCAGGATGATCTTTGCCGAGTGCTCCCCCAACACCTGCCCCTGCGGAGACCAGTGTGACAACCAGCGCATCCAGAGGCACGAGTGGGTGCAGTGCCTGGAGCGCTTCCGGGCTGAAGGCAAGGGCTGGGGGATCCGCACCAAGGAGTCGCTGCGCTCGGGCCAGTTCATCATCGAGTACCTGGGGGAGGTGGTGAGCGAGCAGGAGTTCAGGTAGGGCACAGGTCGAGGGCAGTGGGACATGCAGCTCAGGGTGTTCATGGGTGGAGCACCTGCACAGGCAGGGCGCACCTGAGATTTGTACTGAGGTGGACACAGCTGGACAGGCAGAGCACACCTGAGATTTGTACTGAGGTGGACACAGCTGGACAGG